TATATTTTTTACTATATTTAATATATCAAATGAATAAAATCACCTGTGTAAAACTTCTTTATTCCATTTGGAAATACATGAAGTTTCCCTGCTGCATTTGTAAGGGTCACACGAAAAACCCATCATAAAATCAGGTTTTAGAAAATGAAATTTCTTGTTATGCGCAGATAAATTCTATAATGACAAAACTTAAGTAATTTTCCTTAAAATACTTAAATAATTTTACTTAACCCTAGAATTTCTAAGATGGGACTATGAAAGACATCGTACATCAGAAATTTAGGAGTTCTATGGTTAAATTAGAAGAAAAAGCTAATGTTACCTTTAATATATGATACAATACTTGCGCTGTAAACCGTCGCTGTACAAAAATAATACAACAAAATTCGCATTCGGTAGACTTGTTTTCATGGAAGTCCAATAATATTTTAAAAAGATTCTGAACTTGATCTGATGAATATCTATAACAACATTACAGTTTATTATTATTTTTTAAATTATGGAATGTCATTTTCACAAATTGAAAATGATTTTTAAAATATTACAGTAGCTATTACATTCGAACTGTAGAAAAGTTAATAATACAAAAATTTAGAAAAAGCAAACTAACTTCATAATTTTTATTGTGTCTGAATCATCTTTCATTTCATCATCCAGTAACTTTCGAAAGATTGTTAATTCTGATATAAGATATTCAAAAATATATGCTGCATCCTAATAACATAATTTACAATTAACAGATCAAAATCTATTTATGTCTTCTAATATTTTACATACCACACCACTATTATATTTTTTTAAACATTCTAATTGTATCATATGAAGTAAAATAGCTTTACTTGCTCCATACAATCCTGTAATATAAATGAAATTTAATAAAATATATGTGGAATATATGTTGCACAGATCATACAATAGGTATAAATTTTTTTTCAATAAAATATGACTATACCTGCATGGGCAAACTGTTCTTTAATGTCTTCCAATATATTAATCAATTTTTTAGTAATGGATTTTGGTCTAAATTGTATGCTTGAGTCCTGATGTGTTAAGGAATTTTTTAACAATATACAATCTAAACAGTCGTTTATTTCAGCAATTCTATTATTAATAATTGTTCCAACCTGAGGAACAATATAATTATCGAATCGACAAAAAGATTCTCTTGGAGCTGCATAATAATTTTGAAGTTGCAACTCAGAATTTACTGTAGCTATTTTTGCATGAAGCGTTATTTCCAAAGACTGTAAATTGCATTAATTCATATAAAAATTTATCCTACTTAAGTCTACAGTAATGAAAACACTGTTGTTTTACTAAAATCAATACAATTTACCCGAACAATCGTGTCTATATTATTACACATTGTATTAGCATTTAATAATGTAGCAGTTAAACCCAACACTTTTGGTTGTTCCTCTTCAGGGCAAAATTCAAATAACTTCATAATTAGTCTCATTGGGTGATTATTCACTGCCCTGTGACATTCGTCTAATATTAATAAATTTATTTTATTTAAAAACATAAATCCATGATTAAGACCATTTAATAAAATTTGACATGTCATTACTAAAACCTACAATAAGAAATGTTGTTTTATTGTTTATTAAATAATGCAGAATATAATGAATTATTAAGTAATATATAAATAAAATAAGGTAAAATAAAATATAATACGTGATGATTTTTTAATTGCTCATTCCATTGGTTTTCTTTCCAAAAATCAACGCCCATATCACCACTAATTCCTGTACATGATAATCCAGTTAGTCTTGCAATATATTCTGCTTGTTGCAAAACTAAAGGTACAGTGTTTACAAGGAATACAGTGTGTTTTCCACCTTCATTGTACGGTCTAATATAAAATGGACATTATTATATCAAATTATATGCTATTCAATTAAAAAGCATATTAAATAAATATACAATGATAATAATAATTGTTGAATACATACTTTCGTATATCAGCACTTAGTTTTTTGATAAGCATAACAGCTATAAAAGTTTTTCCACTACCTGTTGGTAAATAAATGATTGTATTTTGTTTAGCTGCAACTTCGTATAAATCAAGTTGATAAGCTCTTGGTCTAAAGTCGTTTTCGTCATCCATCATTACTTTGATAAAAATATTCATAATTATTACAAGAATTATAAAAAATTACACATTAATATACAAATGATACGTACAAATTTAAAATAACAGGTATAAGTAAAATGAAAATAAAATATACAGATGAAATAGTTGATAAAAATTATACTTTTATAACGCTCGTATTTGAAATGAATTTCCTCCGACTCGCGATCTAATACTGAACTAAGGAAATCCCAAACGGTTAATTGATGACATAGCATGGATTAAACAAATATATTAAGAGAGAAAAGTTCCAACAGGAATTCGTCCCTGTAAAAGTTTCCTATAGTAAGTATGCAATTTCATTCATTACTTTATAAGTACAATTTTAACGCTATGGTGGCAATGCCGTATGAAGATGGCGTCCCGTTACCAACGTTCATAATTTAAGAGGGAAATACGAACAATTTAGCGAGAACATTATAGACAGAGTATATTATCGTAAAACACTGATTTGGACTGCCGAGCTGAGAGGAAGTTGGAAACCAGAGAAGAGAAGACGGTTTCACCCGTAACTTCTAAAGATTTCTTTGTTACAGACCACATCTGAATTATTATTTTTAGCTAGAATCACCTTTGGTTCTCACTTCGGCAAATTCGATACATTGTAAGGGGCCATAAATTCTCTTCAAAAGATTGACACGTTCGCTTGCACGTGTTACATTCGGTCTTCACTTTGGCGAATTCGATACATTGTTATTTGTTGACGCGTTCGCTTTTACGAAAATAGTGTGTGTTTCGCTGGGTCCCGCGCTTTCTCTCAGCACATGCGCATGAAACCGTAACGGTTACAAATTAAAAGTATTAGATTTATTTCACGCGTCGCGAGCAGAGTACCTTAGTGCTCTATGGGCACCTTATCCACGTTAAATTTCCCGAAAATTTCCCTAACGCGAACGGCATACTCAACACAATCATTTTCGTTATTAGTTTTCATTATGTTGTCTGACATGACAACATTTTAGGTCTGAACATTATAAATTTTAAATTACACGTATTCAATTGAATACAAAAATTTTAAGAGAAATTATTCTAATAAAATTATAATAAAAAGTACTTTTTAAATACGTACATAAAATTTACTCATTTTGAATGAAAATTATTTACATATTTATTTCCAATGTAGCAACAAAGATTTTATATACACTGCAGGCAGTATTGGAGAGTCAGTGATCCTTTCTTGTAGTTTTCAGTCATCGCTTGTACGTCGAATAATACTGTTGAAAAGAAGAAAAGTTCAGTAAGTAAGTACGTTATTTTAACTGCAATATTTTCAATTTGAATTGTATTGAAGTGTCGTTTATAATTTTGTAAACGTAACTAATATTATTTATATTTTACTTTTTATTTCAATGTTAGATGTTACTGACTTTAATATTATTTCAGCGGTATAGATAATGCGTCTAGGAAGGAAACACTTTGAAATAGCCACAAAATGGTAAATATTATTCGTTTTCGCAGTATACATTAAGCAATTCATAATAAAAAATATTTATTATATATTTTCGAATATTTTGGATTCTTGCTTAAGTTCAACATTGACATTAATTATGTAACATTCGTTTTCTACTTTGTAAATATCATATTTTTAATAAAACTGAACGATTTCATGCCTAAATTAAATTTAAATAATATATTGTACATGTATTTTTTCTCGATTAGGATTCCATCCGCAGCAACATACGGAACAGCAGCTGGCTTAGCTCTGGTTTATTTTACCGATTGGAGGGTAATAGCTGAATACATACCATACTATGGGGGCAAATTTAATAAATAGACCATAAAAGATGTTTATATTGATATATTATGTAATAAACTATAGGACAATGTAATAGTTGATTATATTATTTATTAAATGTATGAACATAGTCATAGGCTACATCTGAAGCTGTTAATATTTATTTAACGAAACATTAATTTCATAACTATTAAGAAATATCAATTTAAATGCGTTTTTTTCATTTTTTCTTTCTCTTTGTAACTTTCAAAGAGGAAGTTTGCTTCGTTCTCTGCAACCTTCTCAGAGATAAAGTTAAAATATTCATGTGCATAGGTTCTGTTAATAAAAAAGAATTAATAAATTATATAATTAATATAACTTATTTGTTAATATTACAATGATATTCATTATTTTTACAGTATGAGAAATTAGATTTACCTGTACAAAAACACACATCCTGTAGCAAGAAGTGCCCCTACAAAAGCTATTACAGGCGCTCGTACTAGTGGTTTACGCCTTGCCATCTGTTGAATTCTTTAAAAACATAATTATTATTAAAGATATACATCACTATCAGTGTTCTTCAAATTTTAATTATACATGTGAATGTAATATTATGACATTAATTTAAAAATGTTATGATATTTAAATTTTTAATTTAAAAGCACAAACATACATTCTTATAATTTTCAGGAAAAGTTTCAGGAAAATGTTCTTTTGCGTATTGCTTCAAAGGTTCATTCCATATATAATAACCAGATATTAAACCTAATATCACAGTTACATGATATGTATATGGAGGATTTCTCGTATATCTGAACATTATCACAATTACTTCACACTGGAAATGTAAAAATGCAGACCATGAAAGTACTTATATATAGATATGTTAGAGTAGTAAGTTAGTACCGAAAATGAGAAAAGATAAAAACTAATCAATTAGATCCGTATTTCTTCCAAGGAACAAATCCTGTACACAGCTTAATAAATGTCAAGCCCAATAATCAATAAAATCCGTATATCAAATTTTAAGCTTTAACTAACCTAATATTGCGTTTTCATAAGTAAATAATATTTACGTTACTTCGATGCTGTAGGAAAGAGGTGTATAACTCAAGTATCTATTTGTAGGAGTAGACTGCCCTCTTATGGTAGTAACTCGGAAACAGTGTTTCCCTATTACACAATATACTATTCAGAGATCCTTGATGTATGAGATCAGACCTTTCGAGTCATCAATCATCATTTTTAGAATGCAATGTTAGGGAATTAAACGATCAATAAAGTACTTGGAAACTAACAATAAATAAAAATTTTTACGTTTACTTTTAGAATGTTTTGTATTTGACATTAGAAATTTTAATAATTTAATTTGAATTTAAATTACATTAAGAATGTTTAATATCAAATACTGAATCATATATTATTTCTATTATATTGTTTTATTTTTTTTGAACGTACAAATTAAATTTTCTAAACTTTATTAACTTTGAAGTCCAAATTTAGACAGTGATTTTAAGTTCAAATTTGTTAATTCATTCTTAAAGAAATCTTTCTTAAATACAGTATTACAGATATAAATATAGAATTTTCTTCTTGTTTAGTTGATGCTAATATTTTATTTCTAATAAAATATTTGTTTACCAATTGTATAAAAGTATATGAACGTAAATTTGTGTGTAAGTAGTAATCAAATTTTTCCAGAAAATTTATAAAATTTGTTAAATATATCCAGCTGAGTTTTGAAAATCTCTTGCATTGAAATTGGTAGAGTTCGAGATAATAATGCAATTCCATGCTGATCGCATATACTGATTAATAGATATATACAATTTTGAACAGCAATCTGAAATATAAAGTTTAAAAAAGTATACATATATATATAAAGAGTAAAAACGTAGTACTACAGTATCTGAAAGAATTACTTTAACTGATGTTGCTATAGAGGGTTCAGTAGATAAGTTTAACAAATCAGCTATTACATAAGGACTTAATCTTGCCATATCTTTTTTCAGCTTTATCAAGGAACTTGTAAACCTATATACATATAAAGTAAAAGTTAAAACACAGTAAATAAGTAATAAATAATAAATGAAATATGGAAAACTTACTTCTCTATATCCAATGCAATACACTTAAATATGTGTTCTTCAGATTTATCAACTATGCCTTTCGATTTATGTACAACAACATTTAGTGTGGATCTATATAATGCCAGCAGAGAAGGCAGTCTATCTGTAATTGAACTTGTTCTCATTTTTAATAGTATATTACACAATGTTAACACATTATTACATGCTACTATTGTAGCTTCTTGCAGTGATTTTAAACCAAGGAAAATACTCATATCAATAGTTGTGTCGGGTAAATATAAGTGCTTGGTGGAAAGAATGTTTTGTGTGAATTTTAACAAATTTGACCACAACTTATTTGGTATGTTTAACACTTGTATCATTTGTATTGATTTATTAATTGCTGTTAAACGTAACTTATTTCTATCATTGGACATATTTGTCTTTAATATAGAGTTCCATATAATACAAACATTTTCTAAATCATTTTCTTGTACATCCGTGATTGCTCTTATCTGTAAAAGTATAAAATAATGTATTTTTATATATAAGCCTGTATTTGATTTTAATATTTATAATAGATATATACCATCTGATTATGTAAATGTTCTAAAAATTTCTCAAGTTCTATTGATTCACTTGATTCTAAAAAAGGTAAAAGCACATTTTCACATGGATTCTTAAATAGAATGCACCATATTCCTTTTATAGTTTGATCTTCGATTTTAAATATCTTTCGATTATGAAGAACAGCGACAGCTAATTTTAAGGCCTCTTGTACCACCTCATTCTTTTCACTTCCAGTGCAATCATTCTGTTAACAAGACGTTAATTTAATAAATTTAAAAAGAAACTATTTTTATAGTTATGATTACATTTACCAAAAATATATTCTGCAGTGTCTGTTGTGTTAAATTGTTTAGCTCTTCATTAATGTTTTCATCGGATACAGAAATTCTTAATATCAAATTTAGTATAGCGACATCATCTGCTTCGGTGATAACGGAGGGTAACATTTTTATCAAAACTTTATTCAATTTTTTTTCTCCTTTTTTAATTATTGCCTTTTGGTCAATGCTTAATTTTTGTTTAACATGTTCCAAAGATTCTAGTAAAAATTGCAAATTCTTTTTTGAATGCATAGAAGCATTTATAAGTTTTTTAAGTATGATATATGATAAATCATTTCTAAGAGACAATTCTAAAGATTTCTGAACATTTTTATTCAGTGGTAATTGATGTAATAATAACGACGGATTTATATATTGAAATATATCAAGACCAGGCTTTTCTAAGAGATCTAGAAAAATATTTTCCATGTATAATAATAAGTTTGAATTATTTTAAGAATACATGAAAGAAGAAAATACCTGAAAGTATTATGTTGCATAAGGAAATTATGTCATAATTCTGATCACATTCTTTCTTGAGAGCAAATATGATTATAAAAATTATTAATTTTATATTGGCTTTTAAAAATATGAGAGGTATATGAAGTAATACTTTTAAGTACACTACTATCTGACATGACAATGCATTCTCAATTTCAACCCATTTATCTTTTAATAAATCTTCTTTCAAGAGCATTATCATTTCATTTATTTTTTGGTTTTCCACATCTTCATTTTCAAGCAAAGGTTTCTAAGAGACAAAAAATAAAAATGATTTAACTGCTCAATTAATTTTATACATGAAATATTTATACTTACTATAGTAAAGTGTTGACATATAGATTTTGTTATTCCTTCTGTTATTAAATTTTCAATTTGCATAACAATACTACTTAACAAACACATCATAAATCTTTTGTCTTCTTGTAAACTATCTTTATGTAATATTTCCATCCATTCAGAAAACTTATCTTCATTAGAAATTATGTCTATTAATAATAAATTTGTCACTGTTAATATTTCTTCTGTAGTCAAAAAAGGTATTACATCTGTGTCAAATTTTAGGACAGACTTCCAAGAACATTTTAAGCCACCTATTAAACTACTAAGTTCAATAAAAGATTTGTTCGATGTATTCCGAGATATTTTGATTTGTTGTAAAATAAGTTTATTCTGAAATTATAGTATGCTAATTTACATGAATTAAACACCATATTATTCTTGTTCGTATAAATAACATATGGTATAACATACCATACTGCTCTTACAACTATCTCTGCCGAAATTAGTAATTCTTGGAATTAATTGTTGCCACTGATCTTGCAATATTGGAAATTTTAAGTTTTGCATGACAGTTCTTGGTACATAATATTTTAAAGTGTTTTTGGTTTCGTTCCATGAAAATATTGCGTCTAGTAACATCACAATAATTTTCTTGTTGTGATTCAAATATAAAATTCTATCTACCAGAAGTGATAAAACACTTCCCAAATCATTGAAAGCATTTACAAATTTTTGATGTGAAGATAAGGCCCCTGTCTGATCAAAAATGCATATACCGTTTAAAAGCATAATAAGCAAATCAATTGTTGCATGCATGATAGCTAAGTTTTTACCTGCAATAAATTACAAAACATTAAAATAGTTTAAAAACAAATTAATATTTAAATAAAATTATTGTACATACATGAATCATTAGATTTTAGTACTTCCATGCAATCAGTCTTTAAGTGATATATAAGTGTCCTTAACATAGATACACTTTGCGAGGTACTGATATTATTTACCATCTTCATAAATTTTTCTTTAAATTCACATGGGAAGAACATATTGAGATTTGTATTTGGTATCACATGATTGGACTGTTTTAATGTAATTAATATCGATGAAATTAACTTTTCCTCTTGTCTTAAATATACAACAGCAGTCAGAATAGATATTAACAAATTTGTATATTCTAATGTTGGATTTCCTTGAAATGCTTTCCTCAGTATTTCTTGAATTTTTTTCTCAATTAAGAGAGGGTTAAAAGAACAAAATTGTGAAAGGAGAACATACTCTATGGTGCTCATATCTTCGCTTAATAAAATATTATCTATTATATTCTGACAATAGTCGAACAATGTAACATCTTGTATTTTATTCTCAAAATTAAACGTTATATCATTTAAATGTTTCAACAGAGTACTTAAAATTTCCTTTTTTTCAGTTCCAGCAGATTTCACTAATTCTCTTAATATCAAATCCACTGTAGCACTGTCAGATTTAAATACTCCTACTGCTGCACGAAAAACAAAACTAAATGTTCGTAAATTGGATTGCAGATCTTTGGATTGTGCATTTTCACCTAAAGCAGATATCAAATCTATAAATTGAGTTATATTTTTATTTTTAAGAACTGTAGCATTGTGAACATAGTTTTTTCCAAACATTAACTGCTGAATACATTTGTAAGTCACTGCTCCTAATCTGTTTGTATTATCAATGCATCTATGGTCAATTACATCGCACAATGGATATAAAATATCATGTACAAACATAGTTTTTAACTCATCTTTTGCAGTGAAAGAAAGTTTAAAAATTTGTACCATACTTTCTATAATATTAATTATTCTATTATATATTATCAATGGCAAACCATTATCTTTTTTAATTAATTCTATATTTATTTCATTATATGACTGTCCTTCAATATTGAAAGTGCATTTGAAGAATTTTAATGCATAAATTAAGAAAGTTTTTATTAAAACTCCTAAGTCTTTTGGTTCGTTAAGGAAATATTGTTGCATTCCATGATTCGAGACTAATAATTCATAACATTCGAAAATGTCACTGTGCCCATTGTCTAAGGTTCCTTGCAATCTTGCAATAAGTGTATTCACCAACAACTTCTTTACATCATTTTTAATATCCAAATTCTTTGTTTTCAAACAATTCCTTATACATCTCCAACTGTTTTCATCTGTGGAACATGTTTCGCAAAGCCATTGTAAAATTAAGTCTTCCTTGCGTACTATTGGTATATCGACAGTGCAAAAAGTATTTTCTGCGAGTTTCAGTCGTTTAGGTAAAGGTTCTTCGTCCGAATTCAAGCGTTTTAATAATTCTATTAAATGTACAGAAATATTTATTATAAATACTTAATTCAGGTTATAATGAATCACGTGTTACGTTACCTGTTGATAAAGCCATTTCAAATAATTGAATGCTTTTAACTAATATTTTAAATTCTTAACATTTCTACTCGATAGTTTTATGTAATTGACAAGTTTTACTTTATTTAAAGTAGTGTTTACAAATACAAAATCTAGACAAATACATATTTAAAGGTATAAATAGTTGAACATGCTTTTGATCCGTGGCGGTACAATCACTTCTACGCCTCTTCAGGTTAGTTAGGAAACTACGTTACTAAACACCACTAAGGACTTTTCTAGCAGAGCGCATATCCATAGTTAATCACGTGTGTACGTACACGTTTGTATCTTATATTCGTTCAACACATTGTGAATGAACGTAATCTTTATATATGACTACTACCCTCTACAAATTGAAATATTATTTGTAGGTTTATTCAAAAGATTAAACTTATAAAAGAAATATGTTATGTAATTAAATAATAAGTAAACTCGCATTAAAAATTGAAGAAACAATTAGAAAATATGATGTTACACTAACGTTTATTGATATGTTCTATACGTATGAAGATGTAAGATTTACTATGTTAAAATGTATAATACGTTACAAATATTGTGTAAATTCAATATTAGAATTAATAGTTAATATTTGTTCTATTTTATTATGTATCTAATGTAGTATATTGAGGAAATGTTGCTTCATTAGGGTTTTGTATTACATTAGAATGTTTTTGTTGTTCACTTTCAGTAACGTATTGGTCATATGAATTATATTCCTGTTCTGTTACATACAATTCTAAAGGCTGATGATCATTACTTTGTTCATCATCTTGATTTTGATTTTCTTTGTGTATCTGTGCTTTTGCATTCAAATTATTCTCTGCCTCATCATCTACATAGTACTTATTTTCATTAGACAAATTGTTTGTTAGCGATTGTTTATTTATCTCATGTGAGTTATTTATTTTCATATTATGTTCCTGGTAAACTATGTGGGGTACTGCTGTATTTTGTGCTTGCGTTAATGAATTAGCTGGTATATCTTTACTTTCCATCGATACAATTCCTAAAAGAAATTTACTATTATAAAAACAATCTTAACAATTACAAAAATATAATTTTGCATAGAAAATACTACCTTGTTGTTTATTAAAAGTACTTTGTATCTTGTCTGACAAGTATTCTACGTTGTTTTGTAAACTGGCCATTTCTTCCCTAAAGAATAGTAGATATCCAAATATAATACATCTTATTAGTTCTAAAATTGCACTTATTTTTTTTATATCCACAGAAATATTAATGTCTAATTAAGATCATATATATTTCTTTTTGTACTTATATATGCTATTACTGTGTTGATAGAGGTACCTTTAAATATCTTTATTTACGTTTCGGAACTACTTTTACTTTCAGATCAACCTTAACAGTGCGCCTCTTGTTTGAAGCTGACGTAGCTTTTCCAACTGTTGTTACATCTCTGTCAGTGTCTCCCTCTGTCAACACAGAATAGCCCTAGATGTATTCAATGAAATAATATAAATGTCTATTAATTATCTAATAATTCAATTTTTTTTTAATAATCTATAGTAATACCACATCTATGTATAACAAAATATTATTGTACGCAAATAAAAAAAGCAATGAGTTATATTTTCTACACTGAACTAAGAATATACTTGTGCTTCAGGTTGTTAGCTTCCAAACGCTGTGTGAGAGATTGGCATTCAGCAGTCAGTTGAGAGACGATCGTAGCCTGATTATTCAAGGCATCTTCTAGACCAGCCACTGTAGCAGCTAAGAAACGTGATCTCATTAGTCAATTTATTAACACTGAACGTACCGGCACTTTATATACACCTATTCCTACTTTAAAATCGGTCATTTGACCGGTCGTGATACGTTTAGTGTTAAAAGTTGACTATTTTCATTACTACCCATGCTAGGCATAATGTCAGCATGCCGATTTCCCACACGCAAAATGAATTTATAAATAATAATAAGATAATACAATTTCTCGAAGACAGTATACCTAACATAGACAAATATGTATCAAATGAAACCTTACCATGTTTAGTTTCCATATCTATTATCATAGAAGCCAATTCCTTTTCATTTTCCGACTTTGCAGGAATTTGCGTAGTAAAATCTCCTGAGTCTATGGGTTTATTCGTCGCAATCTGGGAAAAGCAATGCGCATTTATACCCGGAAATTAAAATAAAAATATTAATATTAACAAATTTCAACGATATTCAATATTTAATATTTTACCTCTTTCTCTAAAGAAGCTATATGTTCTGAAAGTCTTAAATTTTCTCTTCTAAGGTGAACTAAATCAGCCTCTGTTCTCTCTAATCGTTGTTTATATGAATTGATTTCAATTTGTAGTCTACTTTGTTCTTGGCGACTTTGTCGTTCGTTTCGTTCCGCAGTTAGTTTTGTAGACAAAACTTCCTGTTCAGCTCCATCTTTTTCAGTTAATGCTTGGTTCAGCTCACTTTGTAAATACGCTGCGTACAATACAAATTACAAAACATAATTTATTTATAATATTTATAACCATATAACTTATAACTTACATATCTTATTTTGAAGTTCTTTCTTTAAGTCATCGATGAATGTTTGTTTTTGAGAAACTTCTCTCCTAAGTTCTGTTAACTCTCTACGTTGTTTTTCAGATTCTAACTGAGATTTATTAGCTGCATCCCAGTGAGAAGCAATATCAGCAGATAATTGTTCAACTTGCTGACTATATCTACGCTCTATTTGTTGTCTTTCTTCAGCAATACGTTTACTTGCTTCTTGTGTAGCTTCTCTAAATTTTCCATGTTGTCTATCTAATTCTTCTTTTAATCTCTTAATTTCTATTTCACATTGATTTTTTTCAAACTGAATTTGCTGCATAGCATCCACAGTTTGCTTAATTTTTTGTAATGCTTCGGTTTCCTGTTCTCGTACCGCAATTAATGTTTTTTGTAAATCTTGTACTTTCATTTCAGCTTCGTGTTTAACATGTAAAGCCTTCTCCAACTGCGCTTTCATTTCAGGGGTATCATTGCTTAAACAACTCTCGGACATCCGTTTTAAATTATACTGATTTTCCTCTTGCACTTTACGTAATTCTAATTTGGCCTGAGTAAGTTGTGCTTCTAATTCGCTAATTCTGGATTCGAACACTATGTTAGGACACTCCAATGTTTTAGGTTTCTTGCTTTCAGAAATTTCTATTCGAGCTGGCTTTTGTTTATCATTTTCATTATCATTTTCAGCGATGTGCGCATATTCATCGAGTGCACATTTAAAAAATCCTGTTTTATTTTTATAATGTAAAGCTTCATTTTCAGCTACAACCTGAAATTGTGAAATTAAATGTTTTTAGCCTACCACGTACATCCTTAGCAATTGAATAGCAAAAAATACCTCTCTGACTTTGTATAATAAATTATTCAATTGATTTCTGCAAAATTGAGATTCCTGTTGTAATTGATGAATATATTCTTCTTGTTGTTCGATAAAAGAATTTAATTCTGGAGGAACAGACTGTGTGTCTGAAGTTGGAGATGCTAAATTACTATATGTTCTTGTCGGATACACATTCTTACACAAAGTGAATTGTGGATTTATAGCTTTATTTGTATCTTCTGGCAAATCTTTTGCTTTACAATTGTCAATTACAACACTCTTACTATCGATATTTTCTTCGGATTCATTAATTTTTACATTGCTGCATTGATAATCTTTGATATCTGGTGATTTTCTATATAGGACATGTAATAAATAATATTATTATGTATAATAGTTAATAATTATGTACAATAATTTTGTATTACAGATATAATTGATTTTACCCTGACAACGGTTTTGAAACATAAGATTCAGCAAGCAAATACTTCAGCTTAGAAACAGCTTCTCTATAAGCCATTTCCGTGTAATCTATAGATTTTTTCCTACTTAAATCCAACTTTTGAATTCCACTCGTCTTTCTAAAATATTAAAATATTCGTGTATAAAATTTGATTTTAAAGAATAATTCAATAAAACTATTACTTACTTAGATTTCAAACTTAATCTTTTCATTCGAAGAGAATTCACAGGATCTGTACTGCTTGAAAAATTTCCTTTTGTCTTCAAATAATTCCTTAGAGGAAAATTCATGCGTGCTAAATGTGTACTTAGATGTTCTGTGGTAATTGCCGGTGTACTGCTAAACTGATGTCGACGTCCACGGTTGCTCGTTTCAAACATTCTGAGCTTATTTAACCGATACTGCCGAGTCGTTGGATATAAGAATATAAGCTAATCAATGAACCGAGTATTTACGTGCTCAAACACAAGTGAATCGTTTGTAGTAACGCTTAAGAAAATCGAAGTTCGGCGCAACCAAACATAGACCTAGTGGAAGATCGCGTGCCGCATGATCGTTCATGTCTCACGGAAACAGGCACCGTACCACCATGCACAAACATTCCGTGATTTCGTTTTTACAGCAATTTTTCAATAACTCATATCCGTCAAAGTCACAAAGAAATTCTTATCATATATTTTTCTTGTGAGAATCTTGAAGTTGTACTTAAAATACCTTAAGTATTTATAATTATAATTAATTCCATAATATTAAAGATTTAATTATAAAATATATATGTACAATTGATACATAAAATATATATTTCAATCAGTGAACAAACATAAAATTTTCTAATAGTGCACTAATAATTGAATAATATAAATAGTATTTTTATGTATATATGAAAAAATGGATTGCATATTTTATAAAATGCATATAAGAAATAATGTATAAAATAGTTTATCAATTTTCTTCCATATACTATGTAACAAGCTCTTGATTTAATACATTTCCAGGTTCAATTTCTGTTGATGTTGTATTATCATTTTCCATAGTTTCTTCTGGAGTTAATGTAACATAAGCTGAAAGGAATTGAAAGATCCATTGAAATACTATAATTTATTTTTCTTTTTACGAATAAAATATTTGTATTACCTGTACCATAAGAAAATGGTTTTATATATAAAATTACTATCAAACCAAAGAGTGCGGAAGGACCACACACATATACTAAAGTATCTCTATAGTAATCTTTAGAATTAATCCAATGTTCTCTGAAAAAAAATGTTAAATATTCAGATTATAATGTAATTAAACAAAAATACTATTAAGATTAAAAGTGTTGAAATATACTAACAAGTATTGAATAATAATTACTACTAAACCATTACTAAGTTTATCTGTAAAACTCATGATACCATATATAAATGCACCACTGTCTGTATCCTGACCAATAAAGTCTGCAATAACACCAAGACAAGTCACCAACATGATGGAACCTGCAAATCCTAAAATAAAAATTGATTTGTAGATATTCTATATACTATTTAAATTAATGATACTTCGAATATTAATTGGTATTACCTAATATCAAAGATATTAGATAAATTTGATATCCTGCGTATACTATATCTGTTACACATCGAATCCAAATACAAGCGCATATGCCCAATATAGCGCCCAAGCAAAATGAAATTTTTCTGCCCAGCTTTCTATTTAACTTTTCCATTATTAAAGACATTAAGAAACTACTCAAAAACATTATTAAGGGTACTATAGCCAAAGATGTAGCTGGCATATTTAATGACTTATGCAAATATAAAGGAACATAAATTTGTAGTAAATTTACAAATAAACGTGTGGGTATATATACACAGGCAACTTGATACATGCGTGTATCTTTCAATAATACTGATATTGATCTTGTGTTTGTACATGGTGTTCCTAAAATTGATACAATAAGATGTTAATATTAATTCAATTATTATTTGGTAAATATAAGAATCAATAAAATACAAAGCTATTCTAACTGTTAGAGTCATTAGTAACTTTCTCCTTAACAAAAATATGGAATAAAATGGATGTTACGGATCCTACTCCTATTCCAATAAGTACAATATCTTGAAATTTCTGTACATCGTAAGGGCCAATTTGAGAATCGGAACCTGTATTGCTTGTCATATGTAACACTGTCCATGTAATGCAGTAAATAAAAACATTCGATAGAACAGTAAAGCTATACCTATATAAATTAAAAATTAAAATAAATTTAATAATTTTTTCTTTGTACATTCCATTCAAGAATATTTTTAAATAATACCTGATAGCTATAAGTTCTGTTCTTTCATATTCAGTTGGTGTAAGTTCTGGTACTAACGATAAATGAGATATTTGCACTGCAGCCCAACCAAATTGAAAAATTATAACAAATGCAGCATAATAAATTAATTGAGCCCAGTGATCAGCAGTTTTGCATTCAATGCAAGGCAAAAATATAAAGGGAAATGCAAATAAAACGCACAAGGTACCTGAAATACATCATTTTGGAAATTCTTTTATATGTTTTAATGTACGTATATATAAATGTATATAATATGTATACCTATCAAGTGCCAAGTTTTCCTTCTTCCATATTTACATAACCAGAATTCATCATGATTATCCGAATGAAATCCAACAAATGGAGTAGCCACAGCATCTGCTATTTGACCAATAAGTAAAATTATTCCAGCTAATGTGGCACTGAATTCCAATACCAAATGGAAGAACACTAATAGATACGTAAACCACATAGAAGCACAAATATCATTTAATATGTGACCTATGCCATACGCTAGTTTTAAAGAAAGTGGTAAACGTTGAACTATTTCAGTATAGCCACTGGTCACACTTGTTCGTTCTGTATCCATCCTTCTTTATGTAATATCAATGTAATAATATCATTAATAACTTACTCACGTATGAAATTTATACTATATTTATACATTTACAATATCTTATTTAAATTTCTTCTGTCAATCATTTTTGGGTTTATAGAATGTATAAAGTTGTTTGGTTTCCTTTTTATTAACCCAACTAATAATTTACGTAAAGTATATAAACAGAAAATAATTCAAATAACTAATTTGAATTCTACAACTAAGATTAATTAAAAACTTATTGATTAGTGGGCGGATATAAGGATAACCTATTTAACTGTGTTTACGTTATCATAATGCTATATGTTTTCACGCACTTAACACTTTAAAATATATTTAATGTCATTGTAAATGCTATCAAATCTATTTTTTCGTTAATATAATTTTACGTAGGATAAAACTGCTTTATGTGAAACTGCATTAAAATGTAGAGTGATGACAAACAATGGTTAGAACGTCTAAAGATGATTCATTTATGATAATAGTATAATAGTTTAGGTGAAAAAAAATAGGATTTGAAAGTACTCATACATACAAACAATGTTATCAGTTATGTTAAATAGTAAACAGGTGATTATAACCTGTTTTTAAACTTAGCCTTCAGTTTCTTTACACAAATTAATCATAACCAACGTTTAAATATTACTACATTCCGTTTGAAACATTCTATATGACTTAAGGATATTTATGAATAACAGTGGAAAATAAAATTAAAAAATTATAGCTTCAATCAATAATATTATTACCCTTATAACTTTACATATACATTATAATCTGAAATATTTATTCTCCTATTTTATAGGTATTAAGACGGATAATATTAAATCTGAACTATATAAGTATA